GTACCAAGGGTAGAAGCTACGTGCAGTATGTACCAAGGGTAGAAGCTACGTGCAGTATGTACCAAGGGTAGAAGGTAATCTGTTTATACCTCATTCTTCTCGTACCAGCTCAAGTCATCCCTGGTGGCAAAATCTTGGGACCTCTTCACCACAAAGTAGATGAGATACCCGCTTCCACCCAAGCTGCAGATGATCATCACGTTGGCCAAAACACGCAAGAACCTCCTTAGGTGGATGTTCTCATCCTTCTGGTTTTCCTGCTCATCTACAATGGACTCCTGTCAAGTTCAGACATTTTAGATTAAGATTAATCCTGACATGACCTCAGTCTTACTATTTTTGACTGTTATTTCACACTCCCATAAATCATACATTTCATACAATTTCTGCTCATGATTTAATACAGGGGGTTGTCACTGAGAACAACATGTAGCATATAAATCTATCAATATACTGAAGCGTTTACACAGTATGGCAGTGTTTCCCAGTGCGGTCCTTGGTGACCCACAGACAGTCCATGTTTTTACTCCCTCCCAACTGGGAGGAAGCAGAAATGTGGACTGTCTGGTAGGGAGTTTGGAGGAGCAAAAACATGGGCCGACTGTGGGTCCCTGAGGACCAGACTGGAAAACACTACAGTGGGCATGTTTCAGGGAAGAGAAGACAGGGGACACCAAAGCACACACCAAAGCCTTTGCAGACCAAGTCCAAATTTGTCATATGTGTTTTTAAAATCCATCATCTGATAAAAAAAAGAAAAATGTGATGCACAGAAACTGAGTCTGATGCCTTTTATTATTCTATAATTGCAAATATTCACAATATGACACAAAACAGAGTCGTCAAGCAGTGAGGATGATTTTTTGCTCCTCTCACTTCTTCTGAGTAGAAAATAAAAGAGACCAGAGATGTCCATCCAAGCCTGAGAAGCCATCACGAGCAGAGAGAATTTCACCTGCTGATACAGGAACTGCAGAACTAACCCAGTCATTTCAGAGTGTCCATGGTCCAGTTTGATACGCTGCTAACAATTGTGGAACCGCATTAAAAATAAGACCCCCGATTTCTGCGATCCAGTCGGTCCTGAACAGTGGCTGGCAGTATGTTTAAGGTAGAGACACACACGTCATGAGTTTACCAGGTGATCCAAATTGTGCTGGCAGAAACATGCTCTCTAGGTGATTGGCAGATATTCAGGGCACAGCCCTCCAAACACTCCTACATTCATTCAAGATCATGGTCAGTACCTGTCGACAGTTGCAAAAAAAAGCAGAAAAATCAAACCTTTTATGACAGACGAAAGTCGGTCTGTGGTCATGACAGATGCAATTCGACGTCATATTTATTTTTAAACGTGCTACAATTTCGGATGAAAAATACGGACTTGGTCTGCAAAGGCCTGTAAGCACTGTGGTGTCATGCATTGTCATGTTTACCTTGAAACTAGTGGTGATGGATGCATACTTGTTGTCTGCTGTCTCAGAATTGCCAATGAGGTAATCCCAGCTGGTGAACATTTTCCAGGCAAAGGTGAACTCTCCATCTTCTCCGTCTCCACCCCCTACGTCGGCATTTCTGGCCATCCTGAAAAACCCGTGTCAAGGGCACCGATTGAAACTGCCCTTCTTCTTGTTAACAGAAGACAACAAAAATCAATTCATTGATTAATTGGTTAATGTCCATTAAATATTCCACACCCTGAGGGATCAGATGCATAGAAACAGATATGAGGAGTATGGTGACTGACAATGACAGCTTTTTTAGCAACTAATAGAGATTCACTAACTTCTGATGTAGCAACAACAGCATACAGGACAATGATAGCAACCGAAGGTATTAATGAACATGGTGCAATTAGAGTTAGCTTAAGTCATAGTCAGACTACATAGTACGTTTTATGGAAGTAACATTCTAAGTTGACTAAAGCACAAGGTCATCAGATCACAGAACATGTAAAGATTAAAACTTACGTTCGTATGACAACCATAAGACTGTAGCCAAAGGTGCCCAATCCAACCATGAGGTACGACAAGGGCAGCCTAAACTTCAAAAAGCCGATGGTTCTCTGGCTGTTATAGTAGCCGTAGAAGAGCACAGAGTACTTACAGTAACCCTGCATATGAGAATAAATCATTTGAATTCAATTTTTAGTGTACTAAAAATTAACAAAAATATCAAAACAGTTCATATTAGCAGATTTACCGTAATCCATGCAATTAATGAACCTAGTTGAAAAGAAGAATGTTAATGTGTTGTTAAAACGATTTCCAGAACAGTGTGTGTAAACTGGAAGGTTGTTCTGTATAAAGGCCAAAGGTCAGTACTGTAATAGAGCTTTTGCCCCTGAAAGACGTAAAGAGCAACATGAGCAGATCCAGTGGAAAGTCAGGGCTAGAGGAAGGTGAGTCAGGCTGATTTAGGCCGAGAGCTAGATGACATCTGCAGACATCTGCAGAACTGTGGGTCTCACCCCCACTGGGGAGATATCTAAAATAAACAAGCCGCTGTCTATTACAGAGATGTGTTGTAAACCTAGCATACCATAGTATTCACACCATCCCATGATATTCAGAAGAGAGATGAAGTAGGATAAGGACTAACTGAGAAACAAATCCATTAGCAAGCTGATTAGCAAACAATGAAGTTCTACCCCCCCCCCCGACAAAATGTTAACTTGCCCCCCTGTCCAGCGTTATGTATAGTTTCACGTATTCAAGGGTATCCATGCCTCTCCGATGGCCATGGGTCTGATACATGGTTTAGATTTTGGGAGCTCCAGTGAGACAGTGACTGATTAGCAACTGCCTTTTCAAGCAGGGAGGTCAGAGATCACCCTGTAACTAGAGAATTAGATGTGTTGAAGATTTTGTTTCTTCAGTAAAGGACTCCACTGGAATGGGGTCCAGAGAAGACGCGGGTGATTTCACTTTAGAGACTATGGCCGGAGATGTGATGCGGGAAGCCATGGTGAAGTAATGAGTAAAGAAGGCGGCAGATCTGCCCACAGCAGGTGCCGAAAAAGGATTTTCTGTTAAATGTCTTTAAAAATTGTCCTTAAAAAATGAAATAAGAATCTTATTTATGGTAGAAATGAGAACTCTATCTTTACTGATTACTGATTTCAGGATACAGAATATTCACTGGGGCCACTAAACAGCAGAGTTAGTGATGTCATTGCAGTAATTAGCAGCCATATTACGTTCATCTAGCTGTCAACACTGAAAAGGCTGAGCTAGTTGTTTGCAGAAAATAAGCAACAGTAAAACCACTCAGGTTGCAAAATTCTACAGAGCATTTAACTGGAGCACAAATGGAATGAACATGATGATGATCAGACACTCCAAACTTGCAAATATTGAGATATGAGATCAAGCATGTATGTGAAATCCCTGGATGAAGGGTGTGTCCTTTGCTAAGGGTAAACTTCACTTTATGCGTAAGATTTAAACAATCAAGCAAATAAAAAATATTCACAGCCTGGAAACTTCCAGTGTTATCAACATGCATGATGACCATTAGGGAGTCAGGGACTTAAAAATGTCGAAAGATACGTGTAAAATCCAGAACTGAATTTAGGAGGATGATAAGCAGCATGAAAGGAAATTCACCTGTTACTCTAGAGACAGTACTGCATCCTCAATGGCATATGGAAAAGAAACCACAGGTAAAGTAAAATGTGAGAACCCAGCAAGCCCATCTCTTTGAATGACTTTTTTCAAGCTATTTGCATCTAGCTGGTTTTATGCTATGTCAGGGTCCTGTTAGAATACCCAAATTATTTTGTGATCCACTAAAAAATCGCAAAGTAAAAGTGATTTATTCATCAGAAGCTGAATCTTTTGTAGTATATTTTTTCTGTTAACTTTTTTACTTTGTTCATAGTTCTCTGGAAAATGCAGCCAATGTATTACCTAATGCACCTTGTACTGTACAAATTAACATGCAGAGTTAAAAGAATGACAGTTTCACTCCCAAAATGATCACCTACATTGAAGTCCATGAGCACTGAGTAATCCATAGCTGTGTCCTGCTCTGCTCTCGGCACGGTCTTCCTGGGAATTGTTCCATAGGGCAAGCCCATCAAGAGCTGTGAAAACAGACATGTAGACCAGTCATGAACACACACCTGTACATCAGCCATGAATGAAACACCAACCATGAAGAAGCACACACATACACCAATCATAAAGAAGCACACACATACACCAANGTCTAAGGGTGGGGCACAACATGCTCCGAAATGGCCCACTGTCCGATCTGAAAGAAACACGTCACATGACGTCACATGCTGGCAATGACAATGCAAATGCTTTGGGACACACTGCCTGTATAGCAGGCCTAGCATGTATAAAAGCATCCTTCCCAAATCATAGGCTTGAACTTCAATTACAGAAAACTGGAGTGTAATTGGATGGAAAATATTATGCTTATTTTAGGAAGTACATGACATGAAAGTGAAGCTTTTGGTTTTGTCCACATTCTTACCAAATCATGCCCTGGTTGAAGACCAGACCAAGCACATTGCCGCTGATGTCAAACTCTGCATAGGAGGGCTAGAGATACAGAGGTAATCACATGTATCGCACTTCAATTACATCATTTTACAACAGACCAATACATAATACACAATACATAATACACAATACATAATATATAATACATAATACATAATGCATAATACATAATACATAAATCAGCCGGAAAATACCACGAATCCCCTGGAAAGTCCAAGGAAAACTAGTGACTGCGCTCAATCTTTGCCTTCCAGAGTTCTCGAGTCAAAGCGTAGCCGTCCACACTGGATTCTGTTCTAACTCTTAATTCTGATTCTTCGCCTGTTCCCTGTAGTATTTGATGTTCTTCAGCTTGGCTGATCTGTTAATTATTGTATTTGTCCATGACTTTGAGTTTGCCTACTCGCTTCTTCACAGAGCCATTAAGGACCTTTAGAAAAGGTTTGTCTAACACAAACTGAATTATCCCGACTTTTAAAATACATAAGCTGTATTCATATAAGTGAATCAGACAACAATTTAAATTACTAGTTTGGAATGTATGCAAGGCAATAAAACATTTTCTAAAGCATATAATTTTATTAATGTTCCACATCAATGGGGTACATCATTGTGTTTTGCATCCTTCAGTACAATCACCGAAACTCCAGCTACTTCCTACAAATGACAGCCTTGATCTTTCATACTCACAAAGCCCGCCTCCAGGTCCCAGCACCAGCAGTAGTTCAGAAATCTCACAATCACAGCACGCAGGAAGTCACCAATCAGGATGGTAAGATACGTCACTTGGATGTCCGAAACAGTGAGTTTAACAAATTCCTGAAAAAGAACAACTGGATTTTAAAGTGTTTAGAATTGTTTCCCTACTATAATACATATTTGCATTTAATGGGAGCATATATACTATATTTGTAAAACTCCAATGACTGCAAGCAGTGTGAATTGGTAAATGTGCATTGATAATGTTTCCCAGTGTACCAAAGACTGGCAGACTGCTTACTAGAAACAATAACTAAAGCTGCCTTTTTCTACATTTTTCAGGCATTCTGCCTATTACAGTGGTTTCCTAGTGCAGTCATTCATGCGGATTATTGTGGATTCAGTGGGGACCAGCTTACAATGCCCACAGTGGTCTCCCAGCAAGGCCCTCGGATGATATCAGCAGGATTGATGGGAGGAGCGGTTGCACTGCTGTCGTTGTTGTAGGCTGTGAAATTAGCATAGTACTCCTTCATTGCCCAGATGGTGGCATTTTTAATGGAGTCCTCCTCTTCCAGCTGTCAGACAGGAAGCAAAATGTTTAGACATCCAGCCATCTTCTATAAGTGCATATCAGGGTCATGTTGATGAGGATGATGATGGTCATTTGCCATTCATACAGGCACAAAGGTATTCTTTGCTTTTTTTTGTATGTCCCATCTTGTTTTCCAGAGATCAGTATGGAACTTATCTAGGATGCATAGCACCCAAGGAAAGAGGCACCTTGAGTGGTTCTAGTATCTAATAACTCATCTAATAACTTTATCACCTTATAAGTGTAACACTGTACTCAACTTTATTGTACAAAAGTCCCCCTGTGATAGAACATGGCAAACCTTTGCATTGACTTCATCAAACAAGGCAAATAGGAAGGTGTAGAGGTTTCCCAGGAAGAGTGCGAAGATGCGACCCAGCTGCCATTTGAGGGCGATGCGGGGATGATAGTCCTCCAGCTCGGCGATTGTCTCAAAGAGGGGCGGGCACACCAGGCCCAGCAGGGACATCACTATCTCCACCTGGAAGACACATCCATGTTTCTGTTGGGCCTAGTAATGACATCACTATCTCCACCTGGAAGACACATCCATGTTTCTGTTGGGCCTAGTAATGACATCACTGTCTCCACCTGGAAGACACATCCATGTTTCTGTTGGGCCTAGTAATGACATCACTGTCTCCACCTGGAAAAGTCTGCTTCTGAATTG